TAGTTCGTTATCAAAGAACGTACAAATGATTTTTTTTTCTTTTTTGGTAAAAAGGAGAAGAAGCAAGGGTTTCGATTCTGCCTTGTTGGGAATTGGGAATTTGAGGTACAGAGTTTGATTGAAACTATATTGTATGCATGGTTTCGTGTACGTACACTATTGAACAATATCAAAATTTTAATGATGATCCATACATTCATATCATGATCAAGAAAATTGGAGTGTCGAAATGAAAGTCTGTTATTCGATTGCAAATTCGGGACTTCTGGATTTTCTTGATTTTTATTTGATCATTTATTGATGCTTATGTTTCGATGGCATGAAACGGAGGATAAAAGTTGAAACCTTGTAATATTTTGTTGAAAGTTATAGCAAAATGCTTCAAATCTTTATCTAAATAATTGCTGGTTTTTGCTGGAAGAAAATCAAAGATCGAGGAGGTCATTTCTGCAAGAAGAAACCAAGCAAATGAGAAACAAAGGATGAATAGATTTCCATGATTATATATATATATATATACTTTTTTTTCTTTTTTTTTTTTTAAATAATGATTGAATTGCTAAAATTGTTCCAACTTAACTAATCTGCAGAAATTTGTCATGTGCTCTTTGTGCAAATTTTAGAGTTTGCCTGTGTTGTCACAAACATTGGGTCTAGTTATTCTTTCCTTGAAAATCGAGACAATTGGTTCATTCGATATTTCTGATCTTCCAATCTAGCCCATTTTTGCATTTCAAAGAATCCATTTCAGGAATTTCGTTGTTTTTCACTTGTTCAAGGGAAAATCTAGTAATTTTTGAATTTGACAATTTATTGCTATACAAGAGTTCTTAACTTGAAATGCCAATGTAGTGTTCTTCTATACAATTTGCATTGGTAAACGTAATGAATTATGTTGGATCAATTATACAGACACGCATAATTGAGTAATATTGTTGATGTTATTAGTGCGATTATCACATTTTATTTTCTGTTTCATTGTTGAATTTTAAGTTCACATCTTTCGTTCCATAAAATTATTATTATTATTATTATTATTATTATTATTATTATTAAAATTTGGAGTTCTACCTTAAAAGATCAACCTTATAAAAAAGAATAAATTAATTTCTTATAAGTTGATCTATATTTTCATCTTTATTCAACATGAAATTTATTCCTTAACATGTTCCTATGAAATGGTGTCTCATTTTGATCAAATTGAAATTTGTGCATTCATTTTTTAGTACCAATCAGTTCAAATTACTCGTTTGAGCTTAATGGGTATTGACCACAAAATCACGATCAACAAATTCATTTCATCAACCCAAGATTTTCCTCCTAAACTCACGGTGCTTGATGCTCAACAATTAACAGGAGGGAAAATTGCCATTTGGGAGATAGATAATTGAATTTGCATGCTTTCCTTACTGGATATTCCGATGTTTCTCCGACTATCACTCCAAGTAGGGTTACGGTTGTTATTGAGCTAGATATAACTTCTACTCTCAATCGTCGTGCTCTTTTTGAAACGATCGCACCTTCTGAGAGTGATACTCAAGTTAACCAGGAATATTTTGCTTTCCGAAATCTCCATCCCTAGTTAACTTGAAAAATGGTTTTTATCTGTCTCACTTTTTAAATTATGGTAATTGACTCTTTGTATGAAATTGTTACTTATTTTATCACCGTTATCGCTAGTTTATTCACTCAAGTTCACACTACTTATTTCGATTGGTATTCGAAGCACCTTGTGTAAGAATTTAATCAACTTCATCCGATAGTAGTATGGTTCGCAAAATATGAAATTTCATTTAATTATTGCGACAAAAGAGTACAATGACTAATATCATGACCATTGCCATGAAACATCACTACATAATACGCGCATTTATCTAAAATATTTTCTTTATGATTTTCATTTTATCGTAAGACTTCTACAATTCAGCTTTCGATGGGTAAAACTCAAATTCCCATTATTTCTTCTCCGACGAAAAGAACACCGCCTTTAGCATTTTTCATTTTGACGGCTCAAGGCGCGTCGTTTTTACACTGTTGCATTTGGAGGATAGGGACTCGCCTTCAATTGAAACTTTGTTATGGTGTGAAAAAAGACTTGCCTTCTATTCATTTCTTGTGTGTCACAAATTTTGTCATTGTGATCATATCTCTGGTCTTAGTTCATTTTCACAGTTTCCATGCTTTCCCAAATACTTGTAGTATCATCACAGGAAAGTTTTTCAACTCATAAAGAAAATATTTTAGATAAATATTGTTTAGGAAGGGCTCGAGCATAACTTCTTTGTGCATTTATCACTACAAGGGCTCGAGCATAACTTCTTTGTGCATTTATTGTTCCCTCACTGACACAAGGGTCTCCAATTATGGTATTTATCTCTCTCACCCGAGGTCTAGGATTTGGAACATTGGTCAATGTACGCAACGATTCCTTGTACCTTGGCCTCATTCTTAGATCTCGTCCTCTTGTACCCAAGTAAAATGGCTTTCGGCTTTCAGATGCTTCACACACACACACACACACACACTTCCCTACTAGCTTCATAGCCTCCCCATTTTGAGTACCTCAAAGTATTCATCCGTATTATGATCCCTGATGCGATGGATTTTATAAAACGTAATATCGGAGCTTAGGGGATGGATGATGTGCTTCGCCAATAGCTTGCGAATGAGCTATCGTATTAATTACGCTATGCTCAAATTCGACTAAAAATACAAGCGGACAAACCCTCCTCCCAATCTAATTTTTTTTACTTCTTAAAAGTTTTATTATTTGAATTTTTTTCGTTTGATGCTATATTTTACGCTACGGTTATCCATTTGGAACAATTGAAAAATCTGTTAGAAGCTTGCAACACGACCATGAAAAATATGTTATGGACAATGCTTAAATATCGAAAATTATCTTGCTAAATTATTGAACGCAAAATCATGATTATTAATTTTTATTTTTATTTATTTTCCTAATTGACATCAATGTATAAATTTATGAATTTTAAACAAAGATTATTAAGTTCATTTCTTGTGGGCTTTTTCAACATGTTACCTTTTATTAACTTTAAATTTCGAAAGATGTATTTCGAACTTTATCGTGAATACTTCGAAAAGATAACACCATATGAGTAAAGAAGCATAGCCCTTAAATAAGTCAAAAGTGGCAACACAAAAGCATGAATTAAAAGAAAAAAAAAATTTATTTAATCTGTTTTCCTTCAAAAAAGTGACATGTACATATATTTTGAACTCCAAAACTTTGATGTCTAATTTAGCTTATGTAAAAAGATGAGGATACACGAGTTATTTTATTGATATGATTGCATACAAATGACAATAATGTATTGTTTCTTGCAAGAACTTAAAGCAACAATACTAAAAAGTTTTCTAGTGTAATCGTAATAAAAAAAATGGCATGATACTTTTTAACAGTTAACTCCATCAAAAAAGTGACATTCACCTCCATAACAGATGAGGACATTAATGAACATTAATTCATATGCAAGATAAATAAATTGTGATATCATGCCATTTTTTAATGTTAAGTAAAGTTTGAATTTATATTCATATTAAAATTTTCAGAAAGACCATGCATGCACTTTTTACTTAAAAAGCATCACTTAACTTTATGCTATATTTTTTACTTACAAAACACATTTTATATGATTTTTCAAAATATCCCTTAGTTTACGGGTATTTTTGTAAATTGACCGTAAGAAATTTGATATACTTATAGAAACAGAATTCATAGGTTTGAAAGTATTCGGATAATGTTTGAGTCATATTCTTTAAAAACTCATTTTCTTAAAAACTTATTTTTAATCACACATCTTTTCAATAAAATAACTTTGTACGTAAATCAAATTTTTTTCTACTTTTTAATCACACATTCTAACAAAATCACTGTTACAAAATACATTTTCTTATAAGGATGGGACTCAAACCGAGTTTAATTTGCCTATCGAAAGAGCTTGCAGAAGGAGACTAGTTCAGTTTGTCCTTTAAGATGACTAAGAAGATGTTTGGGCAGCCATCCACTCAATCTAGCTGCCCTGTCACTTTCTAAATCAATAATTCTTCAATTTTTGAATTTTCTTCTAGCACCATTATTGACCGTGTAGGAGGAGACCAATTTCAATTTCCTTTTTGACTTCTAACGCTTTACCGTAAATTTGGCAAAATGCAGAAAAAAGGGTTCTAAGAATTCAATTTGGGTTTGTTGACCTCAAAATAACGATCAACAAATTCCTTTCACTAAATTAAGATTTTCTCCTCCTAAACTCATTGATTCAATGTTCAAGCATCAGTAAGAAGAGAAATGACTTTTTGAAAGATGAATACTGATCAAATTTGCATGTCTTTCTCGATTTTCAGCTATGCATATTTATAGATTTCTAATGAGATCTTGAGGGTAATTAAGTCATCTTTGCTAATGACACATGACAGTCGTTCATAACTCACTTTTAATTAAATTTGTTATCCTTTCAGTTTTATTCACCAATCTAGTCCTCCTGCTTTTGATATTCTCCATTTTTTTTTTTTATTTATGTTCAAGGTCGCTTGTGAGACTTCAGGCTATTAATACTTACTGGCCATTGTCATATAATTTGGCTCTTTAAAATGCTCGCTCAAAGACAGATAGGCTCGCTTATGAGCCTTCGTAAATATTCGTTCAAATATCAACGTAGGATTTAGTCAAATGTGTATGATGTCGAAATGCTATTGCTAAACTTGGAAAGTAAGACAAATATCTTAAAAGTTTGAGTCAACAAAAGAAAAATCAAGCCTTACGGTGTAAAAACGAACAAAATTATTGAAATTTCGTGCTACTAATCCACTTACAGCGCAACATAGAGAATTCCAACTTGGCTTCTCATTCAGAAGTTCATCTGTGTATATATAACTCTATTTCTTGGGCTTATGATATACTAAAATTTGCAGTCAGGGAGAGAGAAGGAAACTACAGAATGGGAAAGCTCGATACAATTTTAATGCTTTTTTCATTGATCATGGTCATGTTCGGAGCCTTTGCCGATGCCCAAATGATGAACATGCTAGAAGAAGAAGGGTTAAGAAACCTCTGCCAAGGAAACGAGAAGGTTGGAAAACTTCATTTTTATCTGCAGGACGTACTAGGTGGTCTTAATGCTACAGTTTGGGAGGTGGCTCGAGCTGAAATAACTCCGACTTCACCCACATCTTTTGGTCAAGTTAGGGTCATAGATGACTTAATGACAGCTGAACCCGATTCCAATTCGACCAAATTGGGCCGAGCTCAGGGACTCATTACTTTTGCAGATTTGGAGAATTCAGGCCTTGCTATGAACATCAACTTTATTTTCACAGCGGGCATATACAATGGAAGCACACTGAGTGTTTCAGGAAGAAATCTTATGACTGTACAGAATCGTGAGTTGGCTGTCATTGGTGGCACAGGTGTTTTCCGATTGGCACGGGGATATGCCATTTCAAGTACTTACTCGTTTGATTCCGTCACAAATTATGGTGTTTTGGAGTATACCCTTTACATTGCATATGTCGAATCGGGATTTGGACCGCTCGCTAGTCATTGAAACTCTCCTACAAATTAATTGTTATTGTTTTGGCTAAATATGCAACTATTTGTAACTATTTTGAAGCATTTTATTGTACTTTTTGTTAAATGTTTGCAATGAAATGGCATGTGTTGTGTATTATGATATCAAATAAATTCTGGGCTATATTGTTTAGTCGGGTCAAACTATTATTCATAGGCTTCGTTACAAGCCTGTTATTGAATCTTTAATTAATAGTCGGCCCAAACCACAATTGGCAACCCAATTAACTAGAGACGAGCGAAGACTCGTGTGTGTGGATAATCTATATGTGTGAAGCCCAACTCATTTGGTTATTACTTAACCTACTTTGTGGTACATACATACATACATATGTAGTCTTTTTTCTTGATTTTGTGTTATTACACATAACGCGGGACTTTCCTTTTGCCCCTTTGAGAGAAAATGGCTGCCTTCTCTTTGATTTAGTGAAGTTATAAGAAACAAAGACGAACACTAGATTGACAATTGTTGGTTCTCTCGAATATCGATTTGGGTTGAAATTAAAGAAAAACCTCCAATTTAATTTTCAATTAAAATGGCATTGTGACGATGTTAGTACGTAACAACCAATTACGTATAGGGCATGGAGTATTTTCTATAGATTAATTACAATACTTTTAATTATACTGCATCTAGTAATTATTGACCTGTGATAATTGGACTTATGCTTACTTTGGGGATGTGAGTTTGGGTTATCTTGATCATCTTACTAATTTGGATATTATTGCGAACCAAACTAACCGAAAATCCTATAACAAAAATAATATCAATAACATGATAAGAAATACATTTAATTAAATTTTATTTATTCCATATTAGTTAGGGAATGAGTCATTCTTATAAAAAGTTTGGGCATTGAGGTGAACACATTCGAAACTTGAAGAGTTCAAGAGCCTGTTTGATAGGGATTTTTNATAATTACAGCATTAAACACACAGAGTGTGTTTGGTAAGGATTTTTGGGGGAAGAATTGATTTTTGAATAGTGATATGATGGAAAATGTGTAGTTGAAAAAGAAGAAAAAAATATTGATGTGATGAAAAATATTATTTTATTGAAGAATTGTGGTTGAAAATGAGAATTGATTTACCGTAGAAAATCAAAATTCATACCAAACAGGCCCCAATTTTGAATGAATACTGAGATTTATGAATCAATATATAAGTCTCTATGAGAGTCTGGGCCAAAGTTGAATATTTGAACTTTGAAGCGAAAATTGTCAAATATGTACTAACAAAATGAAAAAAATTTGTTGTTTTGTGATCAAATAATGCATTTTAATCCTCGAGTTCATTTATTTGTGCAGCCTTTATCTTCTTCAAGTTCTTATTTAAGAGTCTAGGCCAAAGTTGAATATTTGAACTTTGACGCGAAAATTGTCAAATATGTACTAACAAATTGAATAAAATTTGTAGTTTTGTGATCAAATCCTACAAATAAGAACTTGAAGAAGATAAAGGCTGCACAAATAAATGAACTCGAGGATTAAAATGCATTATTTGAGAAAAGTGGGGCCTTGATAGCAAACATTATTTTAAAGGGCTTGGGCCAATTGGAATGGAAATCAACTTCTCAATTTGAATTGGACATTGTTTGAAAAAAAAAAAAGGCTGAAGAAAGAAAAAGACTCATTTTGGAATAAGGAAGGTGGCTATATATTAGACAGCATAGGGCAAAATGAATACAGAGATACAGGTTACTTTTAAAATTGGTTTCAATCTCTCTAATTTTCACTTTGAATTTTGAACAATTGCATATTTCCACAATAATCTTTCGAATGGAAAAATATAAAGATGCACTCAAGTAAACAATACAATTACAAAATATTGTTTTATTTAAAAGATAATATTACACTTTTAGTTAACAAGTAAAAACCAAACACTTCCCACTTAAATTTTCAAAACTAACTAATTTTTCTTATCTGTTTATTCCAAAATCTCAAAAATTGATCAAACACATAATTTTTCCCCATTTTTACATCTATCATTTCAAATTGGCACTTATGTTTATGTATGTTTAATTTTGTTTTTATTAAATTAGTATATTTTTTAATCAATAAATCTCGTTTCGACATAGATTAATATGTAAAAATTTTAACAGGTCTATAATTTTTTTAAACATAAATAAAAAAAATTCATCTACTTGTATATTCATAGCAATGATTTTGGTCAATCTTAACAACAGGCAGTTAAAAACAAAAACAACGGTTGTTAACAGCCGGTTGTTATCCCGCTGTTAACTTCTTTTATTCTATTGACCAGTTGGTGGGTCGATTTTTCAACTATTTTTTTCTTATAATTAAAAATTATGTTTCGTCAGTAGATATAGTTGTAATCTCAATTTGTTACTAGGGCTGTCAATGGATCGGATATGGACCGGATCTACCTATATCCGATCCGATCCGATAATCCGAAGGATATTTGATTGTTAAATCCATATCCGATTTGCTATATTATCGGATATCCGATCCGATAATCCGATCCGAAATATTTTACACATTCGTTTTT